CAGCAACATACAATGTTATCATACAATCATATTGTGATTGTACTTCTCGTTTGAAGGTATCACTAATGTGTTCATCATGTTTTATTGTTTATTTTTGGTATTGGCAAATTGATCTTACTAGCCCATGCAATAATTGCAAGACTGTATCAAGTAACTTTCTTCAGCAAAGTTTTTCAAAATATATTGTAGACGCTTCAATTTCTTTTTTTACAAATTTTTTGTTAGTTCTCTTTTTAAAACATTTTTCTCCTTAAGTAAAGATATTTTTTTTTTAAATGAATTTTAAAAGTTCAAAGAAATTATGAAATTGTTTATTTATTAATGAATTGCCTTGATGATTATTATCTAAATTAAAAACATTTCAACTGCAATGTAATAATGTAAATACCATTAATGTTAAAATATATGTTAGCTCAGAACTGTTTTTAAATATTGACTTATGTCAGTCTATACAGTAAAGGAAGTGTAAAGAAGTTTCCTTGCCTATATTTTAACTTAATTATGACTGAACTCTTGCAATATCGTTTAATGCCACTGGTATTTGAAATTGTTATGTCATATATTCGACAGAAGGTCCAATTGGTGCAATTAGAAGCTAGTGTTCCCAAAGTCCTATAATGAAAATGTTTAGTGTATGGTCATGAATAGCATTTTTTGCTACATTTTTTGTTTAGCTTTTTAAGAATTTTGAAACATTTTTAATAGACAGAATTTGTTGGCTTATGTAACAGAGAATATCACCTGTGATAAAAAAAAAGAATTCTCAGTATTTAAGATAGTTTACATTCACAAGATGGAATCAGATATTTTAGAAGGGTAGGCATCTTCCACAATCAAGCAATATTTAAATCTTAAAATGTAATTGACAAATACAAAATTTAATAAAAGTCTTTGAATTTCCAACTGGAAGATTAAAATGTTAGAAGTGCAAGTTGATTAAACTAGGAGGACATTGAAGGTGATTGGATCTGGGTTATTATTCTCTAGATGACGGCTGTATGCATGGAATAATTAATTGATGCACCAACCAATTATAATAGAATGACACTGACTTTTCATCAAGTTCAATAAGGTCACTTCCAGGATAATGAGGAATCACAACAGATGAATCAGGAATGGTTAATTCAATCTAAAAGCACCCTGAAATTCCTCCATAGATTTGCATTTTTGACATATAATAAAATATTAATATCAGACAGAGAGTGAGAAAGCAGATCTAAAGCTGAACGGAGGATGTGGGCTCATACCTGTTGTATGTGTTGCTGCTTCAGAAATATACTAGATCAATTTGGCTAATTTTACTTCAGTGAATAATGTGCATTTTTAGAGGCAAGGGAATATTTCAGAACAAAGCATTCAAATTTTTTTTTCAAAAATTTCTTCAATCATCCTTGTGAGTCTTTTTAACTACATAAAGAGTTTTGACTTGTAGCCAAGTTTCTTTTTTGACAATTTTCCTCTTCAGTTTAATATCTTAAACTTGAAACTGATGAAATATTTCGCATATCATTTTTTCAAGAGGCTTGAAATTAAATTTTTAATGTTTAGATTAATATTATGTAAAAAGTAACTTCTAATAACTTGAAATTGCCAAATTTAAGTTGAAAAGTGATCTCCATGGAAACCAATTACACTTCATTAAAAAAAAATTTAAAATGACTACTTTTTAATTAACTCCAGTCAGGATTCATTATTTTGTTGAAATGGGGACACCTTTCAAATATGCTCTAAGAAAACACCATTTTATGAAAGATTTTACATTCATTTCAAATTTTTTCTGTAAAATATTACAAAGATATATTGATTACTCAATTTGAGTTTTTTGAATGAACATAAAAATTAAAGAAGCTAATTTCACACTTAAACAAAATGAAATGAAGTTTTCAGGTTTACTTTTTTGGGTTATTGAGAAAAGTATAGCCATTCCAGTTAGATTCCAAAGTGTTCAGGATCTTGAATAGCTTGTAGCACATAGCACATACATAACTTTGCTTTTACAACGTCAAAAACTTGAATCAAGTTGAAATATCCATTCCAGTCCAAATTAGGACCTAAACCTATTTGTTAGAAAACATAAACAGCTTAGTCAAAGTTTCTCCATGGTAATGGAGTAGAAATAATATGTAGATTCCTCAAATTGAGGGAACTGTTGTCATATCTATTAAACAGTAATATAACAGGAAAATCAAGCCGTGTCCTTGTTATTCTAATCAGATAAGTCTAGGACAAGTCTAGTGTACAATGTAATCAAGTACTATATTGTGCTGATAACTGTAAAGATGTAAATTGCTACAGAGTAATTTCATTTCTAACAAATACAGACGGTTCTGACACAGGAAAACTCAAATCGGTTGCAGATTAAAATCCAAGTGAGTTCTTAATCTGTCTCTGGAGAACTCTGTCAAAGAAAAAGACAATTCGTGTATTTCTGTGGCTCTATATTGTTGAAATCCCAATTAACCAGGGTCAAGTATTGGATTTCCTTCCATAATCTTCTCTCCTGTCAAATTACAGTCCAATTTTTCTCTCCAAATTTTATTACAATTGTCTGAGTATTGAAGAGTTGAAGTTATAACAGCACTAGATATCTGCTGAATGACTTTATGGTGATATACTGTTGAAACCTTTAATATTGTCATTCATGTGAATACATATTGAGAGAAGGTTGAACGGATTTGTGAAATGTTTTATTGGGATGATAAGATTTTTTGTGTAAAGATTACCAAAATCATATAAACATTATTTAATTTGAAATAATGAAATAAAAGTTTTACTATCTATTATTTTTCTCAGGATTGAGCTATTGAAATTGGGAAAGACCATGCTGTAAGGAAAAGTTTGCTAGAATGTAGGCTTGCCTACTTTTTCTTTGTTTAACTATTGAGGGTTCTAAAATGAGCAGTCTCCACTGTATTGTCCTAATAAATGGGATAGTTTCTTTACAGTTCCAAGAAATCTGAACTTACATCAAATTGAACTAATGATTTAGTCCCATTTGAATTTAAATTCATTATAAAACAAAATGATCTCAATTTCAAGATAAATTATAACTCTGAACTTTAAAAAACGAGGAACTATGGTATATTTGAACCTTGAGCATCAACTATGCCATGATCAAACCCTAAGGTTAACGAGTACTGCTAACTAATTAACAAGTATCACAATGATAAATGTAGGGTATGCTCTGCTGAAAAATGAAAATTGAAATTATGAGTCAGAATTCCTTTTAGACATTCACATCATTTCAAAAGCTAGACAATATAATTTTTTTTTTCTAAAAAAAATCGAGACAATTTTATAAAAAGGTGGCTCAAAACTAATTTTGATAATGAAATTTCATTATTTATTCATATATAATTCTATATAGACTGTCTGTGGAACTATTAAAATTTCTGACAAATTTAATCAGACCAAGTTTTATGTGAAAATATATTTTCACCTCAAAGGACACATGACATTTTGGAAGCTTTGCTGTCAGATGTCAGGATGAATTTCAATGCCAAGTCTTGCAGAGTGAGATGTTTCTATTAGGTAGAGTGTATCAAATACGCGGTCAGAAATGAATATTAATGAAGGTAATATGATTTGCGTCATAGCCAATCAGAACTCGTTTCTTGAACTTGTGGTTACCTCAGCATTCGGGAACCGTGTGCAGAAACTTTTATTCTGCACCAGCCATCTTGCAATGTGCTTTTGGTTATACTTTTCTTTATAACATTACTTTATGCTCATTTTATTGGATGACAGTGTTGATAATTGTTACACTTTATTTCGTGCTTCATTTTCCGACGCTTTTCTTTCTGAAGTATTTTTAGTTTGGTAAAACGTGCACTTTTTCAACGGAAGGTGTCACATCATGTTACTCTCGAATCAAAACACGTCATGGCGGGTGATTCTTTGATCTAAAAATGGTCTCCAACCCTATCACCCTGTGTATGTTGCAGTGTACGGGTCGTCGTATATTAAACGTTTAGCTCAATATATGCGCGAATTTAACCATGCCAATTTTGATTTGGATGTGCGTTTGTGTCGTGTTTCTTGTTGGGGAAATGGCGGGTTATGTGTTATAAATGATCTATTTGACAGGCTTTCTGCTGCTAGATCCCGCTTTGAAAATATGGATTTAGTCATCCTGCATTTCGGTTCGAATGACTTGGATAATCCTCATTTGGATTCATCAATACTGGCCGATCACATAATTGGGTTTGCGGAAGCAATTTTTACGACAATGGTCTTTGAGAAGTGTCATAATAAGCCAACTTCTTCCCCGCCAGGTGGAGCCATACAATGGTTCCCAAGACCGCATTCTCAATGTTTCGATGGAATTGGAATGTCGATGTGTACATTTACCTTTTATTCAATTTTGGCGGCATCGCTCTGGCCTTTATCAACCTGCCACCTATTTGTATGCACCCGATGGTGTGCACCTTTCAAGTCCAAACGGCAATTATCGTCTACTGAAGAGTTTAAGGGATGCTATACTCAGAGGCATGCGGAAGTATTGTTGGGTAGGTTTTTTCACTTTTGTTATTACAGGTGATTTTTGAGATACAGTTTCTCAAGTGTTTCAAGTTTTTATTGCTTTATATAGGCCCTATTTGTCGTTTAGTATCGAATGTAGGTAAAGATTTTATTGTGTTTATTTTTAATTTTTGTTTTTTTGTTTTTGTTATTATGCTTACCTACTGTGTTTTAAGCTTTTAAAGTCCAGTTTATATAGGCTAAAGCCTTAATTTGGTACAGTTGTAAGTCCTCATAGGCTGTTTATCTAACCCCTCATGGGCAATTTGTTTCAGTATATTGGCCCTCATGGGCAGTAATGTTTTCAGTAGGCCCTCATGAGCAGTAATGCTTTCAGTAGGCCCTCATGGGCAATGAGCAATTAATGTTTCAATACGCCCTCATGGGCAGTAATGTTTTCAGTAGGCCCTCATGGGCATTGGGCAATATTGATATAGCTGTTCGTTCAGCTAACCTTATTCACTGTTTTGTGTTTCAGGATGTCTTCCAAACGCCAGAACGACGATAATGATTGTGCAGACGTCAGACCTGCCAAGAAGAGTCTCCCTATGACGACGGCAGAAGATCGGATGTGCGAAATCCTTTTGAAGAAAATGATCGATCGAGGCCTGGTGGTCAACCCTCCTGCTCAGTCTGTAAATACTAGTAGTAGCACCAATCAGTCCACCAGTGATGCTGGTCCATCTACCAGCAAAACAACTCTGCCTACAGTCACAACAGCATCTACACCTGCTGCATCATACATCAACGATTCAGTCTTCTCTGTGAATGCTTCGTCATTATTTGGTGTGCAGGGCACTTCAAGTTCACAAACAGTGCAGGACACTTCCAGTTCACAAACAGTTCATCTAAGTAATTCTGTTTCTTTATCACGACATCTGCCTGAAAAAATCAAGCAGGAAATTTGGCAGGACAAGTTCGTTGAGTTTTCTGCCCTGCTCCCTGGATCTGCCCCGGCTCAGCTATCTCTTAATTTTTCGGAATCAGATGAAAATCCAGTTCTTAAGATAACTTCTTCACAAAAATCTAAACAATTGTCATTTGATCAATGGCAACAGGCGTTTGCCATATTTATGGACGTTGTGGTTCAACAGAATCCATCTTTGGCCTCTTCATTACTTGTGTATAACAATTTAATAGCTGAGCTTGCGCGGGTTTATGGGGTTAAGGCTTTCAATTTTTATGATATACAGTTCCGCTTATTTCGCTAATCATCGCCACACCCATGGAATCAGATTCATCCCGACTTTTGGCTACGTGCGACTACGCTTTATGGCCATCATTTGACTAAAGTAACACAGACTCAATCTAGTCGTCCTGTTAGAAATCCTTCTAACAATCTTTGTTTTGGATTTAACAGCTCTGAGGGCTGCAAAAGGCCAAATTGCAATTTCCGACATATTTGTTCAAGGTGCGGTTATGCCTCTCATGCGTTTCCACAATGCCATGCAAAAGCTAGAAAAGTGAATCGTCTGACTCAGCAGTCGAACCAAAGTCCTACATCTCCATTTAATGCTATTCAGACCCCCTTTGGTGGATTAAACCAAGGTACTACTCTGCCACCAATGGCTTCTGTGGCCACATTACCTCCGACCACAACACCTCCGCCAACTACCTCCTCAAATACTCTGCCAAATACATCCAAATATTCTTTTGGTAAAACAGTCGCTCCAGCCCCTACAAGTTCCAACCCCAATAAATCAAAATAACTTGTTTGAAGTTTTGGATGGATATCTGGAGGCGGAGCGGTTATTTTTATATAATGCATTCAGGCAAGGTTTCAGAATCCCTTTTTCTGGGACAAGACATTTTGCTGTGTCTCGAAACTATTCATCTTGGTTTTCAAGCTTGTCCACACTCTTTAAAAAAGTTAATGCAGAATTAAGTGAGAATGGAGTGATGGGTCCCTTTTTACACCCCCCTTTCCCTAACTTGCGCTGTTCTCCCTTGGGAGTAATACCCAGGCAGGAACCTGGTGCTTTCAGACTGATACATGAATTGTCCTTTCCTGAGGGAACTTCTGTTAATGACGGTATTGAAGAACAGTTTACAACAGTCTCTTATGATTCGATTGACGATGTCATCACGTTGGTCAAACAGGCTGGTAGGGGTGCCTTGATGGCCAAAGCTGACATTAAGGACGCCTATCGGCTTGTTCCAATCCACCCGCTAGATTATGAACTTTTGGGTTTTACAATTCCATTTAATGACCACTTGGTTTACTTTGCAGACATGTGCTTGCCTATGGGGCTCAGTATGAGCTGTCAGCTCTTCGAGCGTCTCTGCAATTCAATGGGTTATGGTAACAAAGTATAATGCTAATATGAGTCACATGATTGATGACTTCTTCTTTGTTGGCCCTGCTGATTCCACACACTGTGCCAACACCTTGCAAACCTTTATGGACTTGGTTATGGTTAGTCGCTTACCTTCAGAGAAATTGGACAAAATTAATTCAGCCTTGGACTGGATTTTGCTAAAGAGTCGGATTACTCTGCGCGAGTTACAATCTGTACTAGGTCTATTAAGATTTGCAACCTTAGTAGTTGTCCCGGGCCGCACCTTTCTCAGACGCTTATATGATTTATCGATAAATGTTCCTCATAAAAACCATCATATTCGACTATCTAACTCAGTCAAATTGGATCTCCGTATTTGGAAAATTTTTATGCAACAATTCAACGGCAGGTGTATGTTTCTCAATGATTCATGGGTTGGCTCTGATTTTATTAAATTGTATACTGATGCAGCTTTGTCCAAGGGTTTTGCAGCAGTGTTTGGTTCGAGGTGGTTTTTTGGTTCTTGGCCCACAGAATTTCTCAAGTACAGTATAAATATCCTTGAACTTTTTCCAATAGTTTTAGCTCTCGAAACCTGGGGTCATTTGCTCGAGAACCACCGCGTTCTATTACTTACGGATAACCTTTGTGTTGCTTATGTTATAAACTCTACTACTTCTCGAAGCTCCGATATTATGAAATTACTTAGACGACTCGTTCTTGCTTCCATTAAATTTAATAAATTGTTCGTGCCAAACACATTCCAGGCAAGTCGAATCTTGTTGCTGATTGTTTTGCCTGTTTTGATTTTCAGGAAGCCCGCCAGTGGGCACCTTGGCTAGATGTAAACCCACAAATGCTGGATCAAACCCTGATGTACATTTAAGTAACACAGCTGTTCAGTTAATTTGAGCAGCTCTGTCTCCTAGTTCCAAATTATCTTACTCTCGAGCTTGGTCAAGGTTTATAACTTTTTGTCAAAATCAACAACTTAGGCCCCTATTTCCGATTCCAAATTCAATAATTATAAATTTTTTGGCCTTTCTTTTTGAGTCAGGCTATGCTGCTAGCACCATTGCCTCGCATGCTTCAGTGCTTGCATATGTCCAACAAACTTCTGGCTATCCAGCTCTTACTAGTAATTTCCTAATTAAAACCTCGCTTAAGGGTGTTAATCGTTTCCATGTTTCTCCTGATTCCAGACTTCCTATTACTGTAACTATCTTGCATCAATTATTGCGAGCAATCCCTAAAGTTTTTTTGTTAACTTTTCACCAAATTTTATTACGTGCTTTGTTTTCTTTGGCTTTTGCTGGGTTCTTTCGCTTAGGCGAGTTAGTGATGAAATCCAATCTCAGTTCAAAAAACCTTGTCCAAACTCAAAATGTTCATTTTCTCTTTTTTTCAAATAAACTATCATCTATAGAAATTTCGTTAATGAATTTTAAGCACAAGAAGTCAACCACACCCATGAAATTACTCATACCATGTACTTGCCATGTCTCACCTGCTTATTGTGCACCTTGTCTCTTATTGTCTTATTTACAAGCCTACCCGCACTCATCTGGCCCTTTGTTTCAATTTATTGATGGCTTGCCAATCACATATAATTTTGTCAATTTGAAATTAAAAACCTTGATTTCTTACCTTGGCCTTAATCCTACACTTTACAAGTTACACTCTTTCCGGATTGGAGCAGCAACTTCAGCGTTTCTAAAGGGGCATTCTGAGGATGCTATATGTGTGATGGGCAGGTGGCATAGCAATGCTCTAAAATCTTATATTTGTATCCCTTCAATGTCTCTTTAACTTCTCCCTGTCATGATGCAGTTGCCTTTTTGTGCTTCGCTAGCGTTGTAGAACGTGGCTGTCATAATGCAACTTTACTTTCCTTTTTGTGTTTTGCTAGCTTTGTAGAACGTGGCTTGTCTGTTTTTGTTTTTAGTTTGTATTTCTTGTTATGCTATTCCAAGAAATTGTTGGTGTGATGTGTCCTGTGTTGGGCTTGACTCCTATCAGAGTGTTTGGCATAATTTAGTACTTGTTAAGCTCAACTGGAATATGAGTTAAGGGCTAGTGTTATTATTTATATATATGTAGACTCATATTTCAATACTTTTAATCTTTAATAAAAGATCTTCACACCAACCATTTCTTCTCATTGTGTTAAGGGAGTTGGAGGGGACGCAAATGAATATTAATGAAGGTAATATAATTTGCGTCATAGCCAATCAGAACTCGTTTCTTGAACTTGTGGTTACCTCAGCATTCAGGAACCGTGTGCAGAAACTTTTATTCTGCACCCGCCATCTTGCAATGTGCTTTTGGTTATACTTTTCTTTATAACCCTCCGCCTCCCCATCTGGCCTCCTTGAATTATTTTTCTTTTCCTTTACCGTATATTCTTACAGGTTTTGTTATTTTCATATTTGTTACTTAGTTTTATGTGTTATTTAGTATTTGTTAAGGCATAATTTAGTATTTGTTAAGCCCAACTGGAATATGAGTTAAGGGCTAGTGTTATTATTTAGATATATGTAGACTCATATTTCAATACTTTTAATCTTTAATATATTTTGACCATTTTGTGAAACTTCATTAGCTTAAATGAACATCAAACAGCTGAATTTGTTCATACTGAATTTGTTGTGCATATTGAGGAAATTAAAGTGTAGCAAAAGAGATTTGTCATTGGCCAGAACTATGCCTCCAAGGCCATTTCTTCAGACAACAATGATCTGAGCTCTAAGCTCTCAATTCAGATGCTAACCGACCCTTCAGCAAGGCCCATCAGAAGTCTATCAAGACCGGAAATTGAAAAAGTTAAAATTTGATACACTTGAAGCCTTTATTCAAGGGAAGCAATTATTCAAGGGAAGCAATACTTTATTGAAACCGGAAGTTGACAGTTATCTTTCCTTTTTCATCAGCGTACTTCCTTTGAATAAACCACAATTGAAATCAGCTTACTAGTTTCATTCATTTCCCACAGGTCCATTCTTCAAATACCAAATCTGAACGGAGACCAGTGCAACATCTGCACTGAGATCCTTCATAGGTGCATATAAGGTTTTTTCCAAAGTGCTTCCACATTGCTCTTCTATAGATGATATTGTTGCTGGGCGCCAGTCTAGTGAAAAGATTATGTAGTCTGATGAATCAGCAGCTTCATGTGCTGACACAAATAAAAATACAAATGGCAAAACATATACAAATACAAACATACCAATATATTTGATTATTTCATAAATTTAATGTATAATATATTATGTTAGTGCTTCTTCCTTTAAAACATAGGCTGGCTTTATTATTAAGTCATTCATCTCTACCGAATTCAGTCTGTATTTTTCATAAATGAGAAGTTTGAAATGGACAGGAGAGGGTATATTAACAATTGAAGATGTTGAGATGCACCAGAACTTTTTCATCAATTTCCAACATATAACATTGATAAAGATAAATCCTTGATATCAATATCTTTAGTTTGTCTTGTAGATTTCAGTTTGCTTGATTTTTAATATGGAGTTTTTAGCAATTGTGCTGAATTTTTCTAAGGATTTATACTTTTAGAACTGTTTGATTTTAGCTTTAGTTGATTTTTGGTTCCTTACTGTGAATATTGTTCATTCTGTTACTCTTTTGTGTAGATTATCAATGACCAGGATAAAGAACTTGATAGTGGCTGAAATTTTGTTCTGGATATTAACATCCATCAACAGTGTATTCAAACCCTTATTTGATCATTGATCACTGAAGGGAAGAAAATAGATTCTGGTTGAGATTAAACCAGGCAGATATGTGGACTAGGTCTTAGTCTACGATATCTCAGACTGTCTATAAGGATCATAAAATAACAAAAATAAGTAAAGCCCAAAAGAGGCATAGGAGCAAAGTCAACAAGCTGCAGGTCTTGGTATCTAGAGATGGTCAGTTAGACCTCCTGACCTTGATCTTTGAAGTAAGTAACATCAACTATTGCTGGTTAGCAATTGGTTCCACTACCTAGGACATGGTCCTAAAAGCTGTACACCTCCCTTAAGGTTCTCCTACCTTGGACGCAGTCCTGAAAGTCGAGCTACTTCAAATCCTAGTTGACCGCATCTAATCCCTCTTTAGATGTGTCCCAAAATCACAATTATACTCACCATGTTGTTTTAGGAAGATCTGGTCTAGAATAAGACTTACAACATGGAATGTATCTTGAATGTCTTCCCTTCAAACAGAATTGCATACACTTAAAAAATTGAACTTTTGGTTCATTTCTGGATTGTTTTGTTTGAAAAGTCATTGATAAACTAGACAGAATTTAACACTGTGTTTTTTTGCATTCTAACATTATTAGTTTAGTCACTTGCATAATGCATGTTTTTTTAAAGAAATTCAGCCTCAATAACAGAAAACTCTTATTTTTAGAATCCAAATTAACTCCTTTCTACAAGACAAACTAAATATATTGATACTGATGATTTGTCTTTATTGTTGTATGAAGGAATATCTAAAGGCTGTTCCTGGCCTGTCACAATTTCTTCTACTGTAAATATATTCCCTTTCTTCATATTTATTTACTTCATTCATTCATGAATAGATAGATAGACAGAAGGAGGAAGAGCCACTAGACTCTTCAGTAATGCTCATCAGAAGTTCAGGGTTTCAATTAAGATGTTGATGGTGATCTTAAGAGATTTTAAGCGAATTGGTTCAAATTTAAAACATTTATTAAGATAAATTCATTAAAAAAAATATAAAGCACATACACACAAAGTTACACATACAACATTCAAGACTAAGGAATATCCACACCCATAACTTACAAGAGGTTCAAGACTTGAGTGGAAGGTATAAGTTCATTAACAGAGAGCCTTACTATCCTTGGGATAAAATTACACCACATGCCAAATAGTCAAAATTTTCTAGATTCTTCTTAATTTTTCTCAGGATTTTTCCTTACAAGGGCACTTTTAACGTGAAATTTGTCTACAATTTGTAGTGAATTGAGAATGTTATTTAATTATAATCTGGAAAGGAAATCAGTACCTTGGGATGAATAGAGGTTCGTGACCATTGACTCGGAATCATCGCCATTCTGTCCTTCTCATTGATTACAGAGTATTGTCCGAATGTGACGGGTGATTGGGGAAAGTCTTGTTTACTTTCTGTAGACTTTGATTACACAATCTCAGCTAGTCATTTGATGAACTGGTAGATAGAGAATTAATTCCTTGCTATCCAGTCTATTGAGAATCACCATGTAATATTTGTTTTACAAGCCAGTTTGCTTACTCAGAGATATGTAATGTTGTCTGGATATGTATCTGTTATAGAGATGTTATTTCAACCAATTTACAGAATCAACATTGCTCCGGGTGTTATGAAGCAGATGATTGTCTCTGAACAGCCATAACAGCATCTTTTCCATACTTTTATTAGATCTTGAAAAAGTGTTTTTACTCAGAAATTTGATACCTCAAGGCATGAACTCATTTTCAAGTTGATGATATTTTTAAATTTATCTAAATATCCAGACATTAATACAAAAGAACATGTGCTACAATTAAGTCTAATGTTCAGTGACACTCTATTTCCAATGTTAGTAGCTCTTTTTAGAATGTAGACTAGTTGATCTGCTGTCAAGAGCTCCAAAGACTAGTGGCTTAGTGAGCTGGCCACTTACTCCCTTATCTAAAGGTTCAGAGTTTGATTTTTGCATAAGGCAAGATAATAATTATCCCTTGACACAGGGCACAAGCTACGGGGCGACATGGACGAAAAAGTCGCCGTATGGTTCAAAAAGTCACCTTATATTTTATTCGTTGCGATTTCAATTCGGCTTAATTCAGAAATTCGGTCTCGAAAGGCAGGACAGCATGATTGTCTTCTATTTACTTTGGCTATTCATAGTTTAGCCAACGGTTATCAAGTCTCTAATAGTATGCGAAGGCCGTATACAAATTATTTTTGTTAAATAATCACGTCTTTAATTTTAACCAATGGAATCCCTCTCAAGCATTTGATGCCATTTTTTAACTTTTAATTACTGAAACTTTTATTGACTACCAACCACCCATTCATTGAATAAATATCATTTTATGGCCATATTATATCTTTTTATCAATTCCCGAAGATAATAAACAAAGGATGGAGAAAGCTTGTTGTTTGAAAAGGAATATTGTAAAATAACTGCTTTTCGCACTTTGGTTGATAACTTTTGACACCATTGATAAAAGATTAATCTACTTTTGAGTGATTCTACTCGTAAATATGGTCTGGTCAAATCATTGTATGAGGAAACAACTTTCTTTGAGCGGACACTCATTTATAAAACATCGTCTTTTTGATCCAACTAGTATCCATTTTGATTTAGCAATATGTCATTACAAAGTTGGCTCTCACCCTCTCTTAAGACTAGTTCGAAACGTCCATTGGAAATATTGGTAAACGATACGAATCAGTCTAGCCCTAGTCATAGTTCACCCAAGAAAAGGAAGTTTAGTAAAGAGCTTTCTCAAACGGCCTTTAACTGGTACGTTTTGGATACAGATAAATCCAAATGGTTTTGTAAAGTATGTAGGGAAGCTAAGAATGATACAGCATATGCCAGGGAACATGAAATACCATCTAAAACTACAAACCATGCAAGACATGCTGCCTGTAAGTATTTTAAGTAGTCATTATTAATTTAACATTATTTCAACCAATTTAAAATTATATAAATTGTTCTATTTATAACTTTTGATCGTTAGATCTTTTGATTGACTTATTTTAAGGTGAAGATGGCCAAGTGTTATAATTGTATTTCTTAATGTCTTTCAGCTCAAGCCCATTTAACAGCTGTCACTAGGAGTAAATTGAAAGATCTTCGACCATTCCAGACCATTGTAGCTAAACAATTAGATGCTGAAGAACAGAACATGCTTGGTAACTTCTATATTATTGCATATCATCTTGCCAAAAGGGAACTACCTAAGAGTGAATTTGCCTACCAGAATTGTTACATATGTTTGAACACCATAGAAACGAGTTTTCATCATATACAAGTCACCAAAGTGTCACAGAATTTCAAAGTGCTATTTCAAGTGTAATTTTGTCTGAGTGCATGGAGAAAGTGAAAAATTCTGTTTATTACTCATTAGTTGTTGATGAAAGTACAGATTTGTCAAACAGCAAGAGACTGTTGGTTTATATACAATATTTGACTAAATTAGGACATTTTTTATTATTAAATATTGAAATTACTGAGGCTAGTGCCGATGCAGATATCATTGTCAACCAAATTCAGATGGAACTTAAAAAGGAATAAATTAGACCTGATAAATTTAGTGAGAATAGAAACAACGGTGCTAGTGTCATGACTGGAAGAAAAAATGGAGTTGTGACAAAATTGAGAGAACTTTCATCTGCACTTCTTGGTGTTCACTGCTCTGCTCATAGGTGAGCCTTGGCTGCTTGTGTGAAGCAGCCAGTTCCATTCCCCAGCTTGGAAATTATGCCATAATTGTTAAAGACATTTTTAGTTTTTTTTAGTAGTTCATCTCTAAGCTGCAATAGGATGAGACAATTTCAAGATGTGCTCAATTTACCCCATTTGATATATGCACAGTTTCATGCAGTTAGGTGGTTGAGTTTAGAAAGGGGTGTTACTCTTATCTAGAGGACTTAACCAGCATTGGTCATGTCATTATCTGTTGAATCTGAAGTAAGTTCAAATGCAAAATCGTTGTATAAAGATGTGTCCCAATGTAAATTCATAGCAATAACACACTTACTGATGGATATTTTGCCATTTTTAGGGGAAATTATCCAAGATATTTCAAACGTCAAAACTTGATTTTAGTAAAATTAAACCAGCAGTTCAAATGACAGTGGATGGCCTAGAGGACTTGATTCATTCTGAAGCGGTTTTTGTATCTAAGCTGGATGATTTCATAGTTAATAATGACCAAGACTATTTATACCAACAGCCAGAATCTGAATGCCAATCAAAAGAAAGGAAATGTCAATGAAAATCTTGATGGGTTTGATGGGTTTGAGAATGATGATGAAATTGAAAATTGTAATCAATATTGAAAAATTTACCCAACCAAAAAGACATATTAACTAAGTTAACAAAAAATTATGTTGAAAATATAGTTGACAACTTGAAGTCAAGGTTTGTTAAAGTGGATTATGTTAATAGCATGTCAGTCTTAGTGCCATCAAACATTATTAAACATAGTAAAGATATCAAATATGGTCATGAGGACATTTTGCTATTAGCGGATAATTTTGCCAAGAATTTGGATTTTGACAGTAATTCTTCTGTAATAGAATATAGACAGTACAAAAGATTATGTAGTAATGCCTATCAAGATTTTTCATTTTTCATTTCAAGATATTTGCAGTGCTGTCGGTATGCTTTACCAAGAACTGCTTCCAAATTTAATAATGATATTGAAATGTTGTTTAAATTTACTAGTATCTAATGTGCAGTGTGAAATGGGGTTTTCTTCGCAAAACAGAGTGAAGACTAAATTAAGAAGCTCTGTAAAAACCGGTGTTTTAAATGTCTTGATGAAAATTGTTGAAGATGGGCCTGAAATCAAAGAATTTGATTTTTAAAATGCTGTAAAAATTTGGAAAAATGAAAAGAGAAAGCCTTTACACTATGATTCATAGTTTAGTAGTGTGCATGGATTGTTAAATATTTTTGATATTGTTTAATTTTTAATTTAATTAATTATTTTTAATGCTTGTTGTTAAGTTTTAAATGATTATTTTTAAGCATGTAATGAAATAAATGACAAAGTGATTTAAGTAAAGAGTTTATCATGTCATAACAGCATGACACATTTTCCAAATACTTTAACGCATGTAGAAGTCTCTCTAAATTTTTGGTCTGGCTTGAGCCTTGACAATTGAAAAAAAAAATAGTAGGCTATATGCTGTCCCTGCGAAACTTCCCTAATTGCATACTGCATGGTGTTGCCCATCTTCATTAGTCCAGCAGGTGCAGAAAAGCAGAACATAATCATTTCCTTTCAATTATAGGTTCTCCAGTGCAAATATTACACCATTCACCATTGCCTGTATATAGCAGAAAACACTTATTAGTTAATTGGCAGAATGTTTGTAATTGTTTCACATCATGAGTTATGTTAATTTGAGTGATATAAGAATTAGCTATTACTACCCACTGAGCTATGTAATATACTAATTACTTCATTATACACCACCAGTTTGTTGTTCTATTCAAAATTATCCTTCTATAGGCTATATTAAGTGTTATCAAACTTTTAGAATAGTATAAGTTAAAGGGATATAGTCATCTAAATATTTGTTTATCCAGTGATAACAATAAAACATAGGAGTGAATCTTCTTGTGAAACCTAGCAATCAGCTTTAACTGGTCTCAACTTTTGCAACATTTATAAATATTTCCCTCTCTGAATAAGATTATGCCCATATTAAAATGAAACATAATTACATTGATTTATATTGGGCTTATAAAGATTTACCTTTGATCACAGTATTCAACTTAAGTTAAACCTTAAGTCAGATTTTTATTCTGAAAGATGGTAGATATCTATAATTCAGCTCTTTCATCTGAATAAATAGGTGACTGTATACCTTGAATAGAGGTCTATTATACCATGCTGTGATTAGATTCCAATCTGAATATATATAAGAAACATAATTAACAAAGACAACATACTTTGGTAGTTCAGCTTTCTTTGCATTTGACTATTTATCAGGTTTCAAGTCTTTCATTTGGGGTATAACTTTGCCCTTATAACAAATATCTATAATGCTGGTAACAGGTCATTTAATTTTTTATATCAAATTTCATGCTACAGAATATTAGCTTTCAAAGTTGCAGAGTGAATTGGTGTAATAATAGGTAGCATACCATGACTTGCTAGTGATACCTGTCATGGTTATTAAGCTCAAAGCTTAAATTGAAGAATGACAAGTAACCAACATATTAAGTGACTATGAATTAAGATATAATTTGAACTACAAGTGATAGTTCAGAAATAGAAAGAAATAGTCAATAAGTTGTCAACACTATTGGTAGTAGAATTGTAGTTTATCTTGCTGCCATTTCACTTGGAATCAGTCCGGAAATAGGATTAAAGTGCTTTTACGTCAAAAATAGTAAATTCTCTTTTTTATCTGCTTTACTATATCCAGTGATAAAAAGTAGACATCACTTGTCTAGCGTTCCGTATCATAGAATTAAACAGATTTCCGAGTGGCTTTTAGTTTCTGTCTGTTTTCAATCACAACTTGGTTTGAAATAAAAAAAATTAAGTAGAATAACTGTAGTATAAAACATTAAATTTAAAAAAAAGCAAGAAAAAGGCATTGAAAATCCATTTTAGTTTGAAAAAAGAGAGACTTCTTCATGCTTACTGAAACTGAACTAGTTAAATGGTAAAAAGTTGTTATTGAATGAAATTTGAAAGATGGAAACTGCTTCTAGCTTCACTGATACTGACACAATGTCATTCATCTTCAATGTTTTAATGCCAACATTAGCTTTGAGAAAAACAAAACCCTTAACTCTTAATTTCTCCCTTCAATTGTGTTTTATTTTTTTATTTTCTTCTGGTTTACTAGTAGATAATTTTTTTGATCACTTCCATATAAGACAAAGGTCCTGACTTTTACTGTGGAGGAAGGTCAATGTTTAACATATTAATGATGAAACTATGCAACTCTAATAGATATTAAAAGATGGGATCAAGACACTAGGTTATGTGTAATTTTATTGATGATGGCATTTAATTGTTATAAACAAGGATTTATATATGAAAATGTACTCAATAATCTGACTGTAGTGTTAATATTTTTTTTTTATTGAGTAGTTAATGCTCTAGTGATGATGGTCATTGAGACAATAGTGTTACAAATAAAGTAAATAAAATCAAGTAAAATTGTGTAATTCTAGGACTGTTCATCACTGATTTGGCCTTAAAATAACTTCAATGATCCTTAAATAACTTTAACTGATCATTCAACCATATTTCAACAGCATTTAAAAATTCTTACGATGTTTTCAAGAGCGAGACAAAGAAAAAACTTTAAAACCACAAAACAAACTAAATTCTTTCAAAGTAAAACTTTATATTTTAAGAAATGGTAACTGTTCAAATTTGAAATAACTCAATTGCTCATGTCATCTCTTTAGCAACATACAAGCAGGTCCTGCATTCATTGTAACATCTTTAACTATGTCCAAAGCAAAATGGATAAAGTGATTTTAAATTACCTTACTCTTCAAAGGATACTTATATACTTGAAGGGTGATGCCCTGTTGCAAGCAATGAAATAAATTTGCCAAATATATTTTAATTTTCAAATGTCACAGGATCTTTAACTGTAGCACTTAGGACTCTAAGAGTATCATCAAAATGACTGAAATTCTTTCTATATCATATCAGACTTGCCAGGAGGAAATCAGATTGAAAAATCATTCCAACCAATTGTACCCGAAACATCAGGCAAGCATCAAACTTGCTGAGTCACCCTAAGAATTGTGTATGGTAAAACTAGAGGAGATAGTACAACTCAAAAGATCAATTTGAAGAAGGTACTAGAGGGCTATAATTAGACCCTAACTGAAATGGCTATAAAAAAACATAGAAGCTTAAAAAAAAAAAAAAAAAAATGAACAAATTTCAGGCCAGTGTTGCATTTTTAAACTTTTAACTTGAAAGAAATTCTTGAATATCATAGTCAAACAAAAAAAAAAAACTGAACAAATTTCAGGCCAGTGTTGCATTTTTCAACTTTTAACTTGAAAGAAATTCTTGAATATCATAGTCAAACAAAAAAAAAAAACTGAACAAATTTCAGGCCAGTGTTGCATTTTTCAACTTTTAACTTGAAAGAAATTCTTGAATATCATAGTCAAACACATCATTGTATTTCATGCTTCAAAACAATTCCCTTAGAATATCTTAGATTACATAGTAGATTGAAAATATTGACAATTGTATGACATTTGTAAGAAGTACACTATGCTACATTACCATTTACATTATAAAGCTCTAATGTCTAAGATAACAATCTATAGCTTAATGTTTTTTTAAATGTCAAATATTGAAATGATATGAAAACCTATATTTGGTAAATATTGATTCAGATTTTTTTCAAATTTTTTATAATATATTTTAATGTGATTCTAATAGATGATAAAATCCTCGACCTATTAAATGATAAATACCAGATATATTGAGAGAAATATTGATTTGATAAGCTCAGATGTTATTAGTAAGAATCTGTATGCTTCATTAGATTCCCATGCAACAATGGGCCAAAATTCTATTTTTGCTACTTCATTGAGGAGCGTAATGCTTATTAGGTCAAGTATGGTTTCTGAAGGGAGCTGCAGTGGCTCAGTGAGTTAGACTCTTGCTTGCTAACCGGAAGGTTTTCAACCTGATTTCCCTGTCTCAGTGATGCAGGTGAGAGAAGCTGATATGAGAAAAGCGTCTTAATCGTTCGGATGGGACAATAAACTTAGGCCTGTATGCCACAGGCTGTTCACATTAAAGATCCCTTGACAGTTAGAAATCAAAAATGAGCAGGGTGTCCTGGTAAAATTTCTCTCATACCCTGCATGGCATTGTCCATCTTCATTAGCCCACATGGTGGTAAAGTAGGATGTAAACTCCATTCATTTCATTTCATTTTTAGGTTTCTGAAACAATATAACTGAGCTTAGTAGAAATCCTAACAGCAATGTGATAAATTCTATGTTTACAAATGAAACCTGTAGTTGTAATGTATTTGTCATTATAAGCTGTTGAATAGAAGAGAAATTTTAGAATGTACAATTGAAACTGATAGAACTAACTTATCAAGAGATGAGATATCTATTCTTGCTGAAAACTAATCAGTGCTAAACACAAGATTGCATTACCTAGGGTTTGGTTTATTCAGTTTACCTTTTCTTATTGAAGTCCTTTTTGAATAGATAATCTGGTTGCTATATCTGTTTGACATATATAGTATACAAATAAATTCCATAATCCATGTTTAGGTATAAAATCTAAAAGTCAAGCAACATAAAGGTATGTTATATAAATAGACAATAATCTCTTGTACAATCAGATCTGTATCAATCCAACATCAAATACAGAAAACTGTAAATTGTCAATTTCCATCTAGTATAGTTTTTTTATTCTTACATGATTTTCCTTTTTAGCTTAATCTCCTCTTTTACTTCTTTTTCAAATGGATATTTCTAGTATGACAAACGTAGGCTAAATCATAAAGCGATATAAAAGTGCATAAATTGTCCAGATTTTTTGCAGATGTCAGATTGTAGTGAATATCATCACTTTACAATTTCACATGCTGTTATGACCCTAAATATGACATCATGCATGCAAGTGCATGCAAGCATCCTAATAATGCTGTAATTACAAATGAACAGGACCTCAAATTTTAATTCTGCTGGATTTGAGTTGTATCAGTCACTAAGGCAAATATTTAAATGGTTATATCCCTTTTTCAAATGGGAGATAAAGATTGTTTTCAAGCTTGATTAGAACAGAACAGATGTGTTTATATTATTTATATTTAAAATTGAGCATGTGAATCATGTCCAGAACATATATGTCAGTTATTATTATAGTCCATTGACATCCGGTCAGTAATTAAATTATAGCTTAGATTTCATGACACAAGTAAATTAATATCTAAAATATAATGAATAATAGATTTACATGTAAAATATTTATATTCATCAAGGCAAAAATAACAAGGTATTAAGATACCTCACATGTAAAGTGATACAGTTGTCTAAATGGTTATTAGCTGATGGAACTCAACTTCAACAATCCTTAATAATTTCAACAATTAGAATTTGACTTCAGTTCTCCTGCAATAAAAAGAATCACCATGTCGTCACTTCCAGGTCTATTTTGAAATTACTCATGTAGATGAAATCACATCTGTATGTGAGATTGTTGGTAATTTCAGTAAAATATAAATAAACATTACCTTTTGATGGTGCAGTTAATTCGAAATATCAATGCCCAGGTGGGTTTACCAAAGAAGATATTTTCAACCAGGATCCTCATAAGCATAGGTAGTTATCCTTGTAAAAATTAGTTTTTTCTTTTAAAATTAACTGGAGACTTGTATTGACTTTTTCAATTCTGGAACAAAACAAAGTGACATTTTGGTTGTCTGAAGCGATTCATCAGACACAATTGATCAAATGAAGCAGACATTTATTTTTATCTCTGCTTGTAATTGACATTTTAAAGCATGACAATTAAGTATTGTATAAAACATGATTAACAGAACTCGTTAGAATTGTCTTCTAGTTCTTCCAGGAATTAGATTAAAGCATCCCAGACAGTAACAGAGCACCAGGAACCATGTATGTTATGAAGCATGTTTCTAACTAATTTTCAAATAATCTATATGATTAATTTAGTGACTATGAGTTCCTTTTATGTTGTTTTTTGGGGGGATTAAGAAATACACATTATGGTAAATAATGTAATTTATGTCTTACCCTGATTGGTTGTTTAATTTGAGCGCAGAATTATCAATGTAAATAGAAGAATGTTCCTGCACTTTTCTCATTCGCTCTCTGTATCTTGCTGCACACACATCGCAGCAAAGTCGCTCATAAGAATTTCTGTTGATCACATTGATTGAGTATTTGCAGAGAGTGGTTCTACTAAAGTCTCAACAGATAAACGTTAAGTATTTAAATATTCTTTCTGTGAGAGTTATCTATCCTGTACTTTCACTTTGTAAGTAGTGTAATTTTTGGACATCGTGCGTTCTCGTCGTTCGACCGCGTGTAAGTAGTTCGAAATTTATCGGTCTGCTTTACTGGTCCATAATTCCTATTGAACGACCGTTGTGAATCTTGTCCAGTTACGTTTTTGAAAGGTTCTTTGAGAACCTATCAGTAGATTTAACTCAGGAATACAATCCTCAGGATTTTTACGGGGAATTTTCGGTCTATGATTCAAGCCTCATCACAGTCACTGGAATGTCTTGGCCAGTACATGTCTCGGGAAGCTATAGCATTTAACTTGAAATTGCCAGGAGACCCCTGTTCAGTAGATTGTTTTGGTTACGGGGGTCTCCTCGTTGATTCCGATCCTCATAATCGACTGTATAAAGCTTGTCATCGTTTCACGGGTCAGGATATAATACTGTTACACATTGCGTCAAATGATTTGGCAAATGGTGTACCTGCTCGAAAAGTTGTGGATGATCTGTTGGAGTTTGCCAATGCCATTCACAGGCGCTTTAACACAAAGTGTATTATACTTAGTCAAATCTTGCCAAGGATTAATGAGGCTATTCCAAATTTGAATGATAATATTATTCTAGCCAATTCTGAATTAGAATCGATTTGTAGCCACCATGTGTTTCTGTCCTTTTGGAAGCATCTGTCAGGTTTAGTCACTTCAAGTGCTCAGTTGAACTCAAAAAATTTCTTGCCGGATGGTGTCCACCTGTCGGATGCAGAAAACAAGAAACTAGTGAAAAGCTACCGTTAATTGGCATTTTAGGGTAAGCGTGTCCATGCTTGGAAATATTTTCTAACAGCGCTTTGTGTAAGCCAAAGCCTTGCTTTGTGTGAACTAAAGTCGTTGCTGTTATGAACCAAAGCGCTTTGTGTAAACTAAAGCCGTTGCTTTGTATAAAATTTACAGTTGCTACGTGTTTATCAAAGCCGTTGCTATGTGTAAACAAAAGTCGTTGCTTTGTGTAAACCAAAGTTGTTGCTTTGTGTAAACCAAAGTTGTTGCTTTGTGTAAACCAAAGCTGATTCTTTGTGTAAACACCCAAGGTGTTGCATGTTGTCCTTTGATTAATTGCATTTTATTCCTTGTAGGACAATGCCAAAACGTAAAGCTTCTGAGGTTGATGATGTGGAGGAGAATGTATTTTACTCTGTTTGAGTTGAACGAATTAAGAGTGAAATATTTTCTTTGTCATGTGAACAAATTAACAGTGAGTAAAGTGGTCAGATGTAATCATGTTCAGTATAAAGGGTTGAATGTATGTTGATGAATTCATTCGCGCTAAGACATGCATACACATGCATACCTTTATTTGTGATAAAAATATTCAAGTTTTTAAAAGGCTATATATTAGATGCCAAGGGATGCATTTTTTGATGTGTATTTTCACTGTAATTAGGTACTGGGTACCTGGATTTTTTAAAGGCCTTGAGATGCCAAGGAGTGCATTATTTGACTTGTAGTTGCACTATGTGAGGTACTGGGTACCGGATTTCTAAAAGGCCAAGAGAGGCCAAGGAGTGCATTTTTTGATGTATATTTGCACTGTTAAGAGGTACTGGGTGCCTGCGTTTTGAAAGGCCACGGAGTTAATTTTTTGATGTATATTTGCACTGTTAAGAGGTACTGGGTGCCTGCGTTCTGAAAGGCTAAGAAAGGCCACGGAGTGCATTTTTTGATGTATATTTGCACTGTTAAGAGGTACTGGGTGTCTGCGTTCTGAAAGGCGAGGAAAGGCCACGGAGTGCATTTTTTGATGTATATTTGCACTGTTAAGAGGTACTGGGTGCCTGCGTTCTAAATGCTTTGAGATGATTTTTTGAGTGTATTACTTGACATGTAGGTTCATGTATGAGGTTCGGGTAGTTTGAGTACCTAATTTGGGCTCGTATTTAAATAGTATATACATACAAACAAGGGTATAAAATACAACGAGTAAAGGTTTAAATTAGATTTAAATTGACGATGATATAAGTGTTGTTATTATAGTGTGTATACATGTATTTAATGTTCAGCATTACTTCTGTGTGGGATTGATATTTATAGATATATAGACGTTCGCTCAACGCAAACTTTGTAGGGTCTCTTTGCATTATGCATAAGCACAGGTTTCTGAGTCAGTTTTTCCTGGGTGGCATTGAGATTCAATGATCAAAGGAGTCCCTGATGATATTAGTGCTGTATATATGATTATATATGTTTATTAAGATAGAATATATGTTATTCTGTAATAGATTTGTATATGGTTGGTGATTTATGTGATTGAATAAACGTGCAGTGTTTGTCTGTAGCAAATAGCAACATGTGTTATATTTGTGAGGGGGGAATACAAAGAAGGGATGATCCTCCAATGTCCACTGCAGAGGACAGGCTAACAGACATTCTGTTAAAGAAAATTATTGATAGGGGCCTATTGTTTGACCCCAAGAAGACCACTGGTGGAAATTCATCTTCTAAATCTTCATCTTCTCAAGCTTCTCCATTGACAACCATAAGTTTACCATCCACTTCAAAAGACAGCAGCTCATCTTTTGCTCAATCCTGTTTTGGCTGTTAATGCTGCAGAATTATTTTCAAGTCAGTCACAAACCTCAGGTATCTCCAATTCCTATGCCCAACCTAAAGGATTGTCAATTTCAAGACATGTTAGTGACCTGCTGAAGGCGGACATTTGGGCAGATAAGTTTGTTAATTTTGCATTATTATTGACTGGATCATTTGCAACGCAATTGGCATTGAACATTACTGAGACAGAAGATGATGAGCCAACACTAAGGATCTCTTCTGCTCCCAAATCCAAAGTTTTAACCTTTGATCAGTGGCATAAAGCCTTTGGAATTTTCATGGGCATTTTGCTCCAGAAGGATCCTTTGTGTGCTCAGAGTCTTTTGGCTTATTCTAGTCTATTATCAGAGCTTTTCACATCATATGGCATCAAAGTTGTGCACTTTTACGATTCCCAATTTTGGTTATTACGCCAATCTGGACCCTACCCCTGGGACCAAATTCATTTTGATCTTTGGTTGAGAGCAACAACATTGCATGGGCCTATGGCAAATAAAACTCCACCTCCATCCTCCCATAATCCATCAATATCTCGTAGTCTGTCATGCTTTAATTTTAATAGTCAGTTAGGTTGCAGACGTAAAAGATGCAAGTATTCACACGTTTGCAGCAAATGTGGTTATAACCATCCTGTTTCCCGATGTTATAGTAATAGACAAGATGGATCAAGTAGTAGTATGTCAACTTCTCGTTCTCCTAACACCAATCCCATTTTAACTTCTCAAATGATAGGTGCTAATAATAATTTTACACTTTTAAATGTTAACTCATTTCCAGTTTCTGCGTCTTCTATACCACCCCCAATGATGACACAACCACCACCAATACCAGATCCACAAGCTCAATCCCGTTATTCATTTCGCAAGAACAATTCGTCTGGTAAAACTTCCAACCCCAGTAAATCCAAGTAATTTGGACAGCCTTTTAGTTGGCTATGACCTTGAAGAAATAATTTTTCTGAATAAAGGATTTACAAAGGGGTTAGGATTTCAAGAAATCACCAGTCTTGTATTGGTAATTTTGAGGTTTTGCTAGATAAACTGCAGAGTGAGCTTGTTGCTGGTCGGATATTGGGTCCTTTTCTTAAACCTTCATTCCCTGACTTCCATTGCTCACCACTGGGAATTGTTCCCAAACAAGAGAAAGGTAGCTTTCGCTTAATTCATGATTTATCCTTCCCTGTTGGTGATTCCATAAATTCTGGCATAGATTCTTTTTACACTGAAGTAAGCTATGATACCATTGATGATGTTATTAAAATTGTTAAGACAATGGGTAAAGGAGCTTTGATGGCTAAGGCAGACATTGATAATGCCTATCGGCTTTTGCCAATCCATCCAGATGACTATAGTCTGTTAGGGTTTTCTGTTTCTTATGATGACAATGTTTATTATTTTGCTGACATGTGCCTCCCTATGGGTCTTAGCATGAGCTGTCAGTTCGGCTCTGCATTGGATTATGCAATATAAATTTTAAGCTTCTGTAAGTCACATGATTAACGATTTTTTTTTCTTTGCTGGCCCTCCTGATTCGCCCAAATGTGTACAGTCTCTAAATTCTTTCCTTCAGTTATCCGATTACTTGGGTGTTCCTATTAAAAAATCCAAAACTGTAGGTCCAGTCAATGTTATCACCATATATGGTATCGAAATCCCAATTGTTGTAGCCATTGAACATTGGGGTTATCTTCTTAAAAAACATAAGTCCTTCTTCTGACAGATAATGAATGTGTTATGTACGTCATTAATAAAGCTACGTCACCCTGTTCTTCACTAATGAAGTTAGTCCTTAGATTGGTCATGGCCTCGATCAAACATAATATATTGCTCTGTGCTAAACATATCCCAGGTAAATCCAATTTGGTTGCTGACCATTTATCTCGATTTAATTTTCAGCTGGCTCGAGCTTGGGCACCATGGTTAGATCCTACACCTCATATGATAGATTCAGCTCTGTTAAAGATTTAAGCTCTGGTGCAACTGCTCTTCTTAATGAAGCCTTAGCTCCATCTTCTAGGTCAGTTTATGTGAGGACTTTTGTAAAAGTAAAGGTTTAGAACCATGTTTTCCAATCCCTAACTCTTTGATTTGTAATTATATGGCATTCCTTTTTGAATCTGGATTTTCACCTAGCTCTTTGGCTACCCATGCTTCAGCCATCTCCTATATTCAGAAATCTCATGGTTTTCCTGATACCATGAATTCCTTCATGCTGAAAAATCTTCTAAAGGGTGCAAAGCGTCTACATGGTTCTCCAGACTCTAGGTTACCTATCACTCATATAATTTTATTCAAATTGGTTACAGCAATTCCATTAGTTGTTTCGTTAAAATTTCATTGTTTGGTTCTGAAGGCCGTTTTTGCTTTGGCATTTGCAGGATTTTTTCGGATTGGTGAACTAGTGTTTAAATCTGCCAATACAGCTTTAAATGTGATACAAACATCCTCTGTTCATTTTCATGTTGACAGTAATAAATTGTCTTCAGTTCAAATTTCACTTCACCATTTTAAACACAAGACAACAGATGGTCCTGTTTTGATTGTCATAAATTGTGAGTATTCAGTGAATAGTTCTATTACTTGCGCACCCTGTGCGATGTTGGCTCATCTACAAGCTTGTCCCCATGCATCTGGACCATTTTTTCAGTTTCATGGTGGAGCCCCTGTAACTTATAACTTTGTCAACTCTTACCTTCGTAAATTGATTTCAATTTTAGATTTGAACCCTGCTCTTTATAAACTGCACTCATTCTGAATAGGGGCTGCCTCAACAGCTTTTTCTAAAGGTTATTCTGAGGATGCTATTCAGAGAATGGGGCGCTGGAAGAGCCAAATTTATCCATTTAGGTCTATTTTCAGATTCGTGATTTTTAAAATTTTATAGTTTGGGCGGGGGTCCAGGTTGGCAACTTTGTTTATTATTTATAAATTCTTACTTTTATGTTTCATTTAAGTGCACACATTGCAGGGAATACGGTTTGTGCCCTGGAGTGTAGAGCTATTTCACTGTTGTATTCTGAATTTGGGTAGCCGCTCTCAGACGTTTTAGATTTGGAAAAGCCTATTTCTACATCCAGGGCTCGGTGTGGGTCCCTTGCATCCTATCTATGATCAGTAAGTGTGTTCAAGGTTTGCTTGTTGGTGTGATGTGTCTTGGTTTGGGCCTGTCATCACAAATGGTGATGTGTCTGGCATAATTAATTTTCTCATTAAGCCCAAACTATATTTTATGTTCCAAGAAATATGAGTTTCACTTTATCTTACATTTATGTATCAATTCATGTAATCTTTTCAATTGCTCAACTCATATTTCTCATATCATTGAAATAAATGATATTCACACCAACAAGCATATCTTTTATCTGGAGAGGAGAGGCACCTCAAAATTGCCTGACTATTCCTAGGGTGTGTCAGTCTGGGGGTTGAGAGACATAAAGTGAAATTTCAGACAACAGGCATAAGAAAGCAGTTCACCATTGGTTCATCAGTTTGTCCATGTTCATTTCCTGTCCAGTTTCTTTCAGGTCTTGTAATTTCTAAGACTTGACATGTAGCCTTTGGCTGTTCCTACACCGTTTTTTTTAATGTCTCAATATATTTATTTTTATTGTTTTTTTGAAACAATTTTTCTTCCCTTAGGTGCAATCCCCCTGGAGTTGAACACATTTACCAATCCTTCTGTGCCATGCAAACTTGCGAGGAGTTTTTCCTGTCAGAAAAGAACTTTGCTGTTCTGGAGTCATCTCCCTACTTGCCTAACCTGATTCCATGCGAATATTTCCTCTTTCTCAAACTCAAGGGAGTCATCAAAGGGACATGTTGCAGAGGTCATGGAAAATGACAGAAAACCTCTCATAGATATATACCATTTACCATTATCCTTGTCTGGTATTGGACTGAAATAAAGAGTCTTTTATCTATAGAAATTTCTAATCAGCAACAACATGTTACCAAGGTAAACAAATTGCTTCCATCTTATCATGACCACCCCCAATTAATTGATAACAGTAATACTTGATGATTTATCTGGTTGATCAAGTCTATAAAAGGAAACATGGAGGAATATTAGTGAAGTAAATAAATCATTAGACCTGTCTAAATATTAGTTATACACATTAATAATTCATTTATAACAATATATTTACTACCCTCTAAAGACCAATCAAATATTGCTTAAAGCAGATACAAATCTCTTGCAATGTCAATTTGTATCTCTGATTCGTATCTTTATCTCCTGATAAAGACCAAATTGAATTGAATTTAGCACCTTATTTGGTGACGTAACATAAAATCTAATACTTACTTACATGTATCAAACCTATTATTCATAAAAAAGGGATCGATAAGGGAATACAAGTAATATCAGATAAGAGTCATGCAAATGACTGAATTGAATTATGTAATAATCTATTTTTCTGAACCTTTTTGGTCACATTAGATGGGCAATGCCATTTGGTCTACAGTGTACAAAAATGGAAATTTCGCTAGTATAGCAATGCCAGTTCACCTGCAATTTAAAATTTTAGTCTTGTCTTGCTGTAATCTATGTCACATTTATATGCCTCTGTATTATTAATTTATCTTTTGATATCTTCCCTCAAAACTCTTATATTGTAGGTCATACAGTTTACAAGATGGGAAAATTGTTATGTTGAAACAATAACTTAAATGTGTTTTTGGACAGATTCTAAAAACCTTATGCTATTGTCAATTTAATATATAACAACTGTGTGTTTTTGTGTCAAGAGTCATTTATTAAATATTGATAAAACCTTGTGTTTTTTGTGATGAAACTCATGGCATTTGACATTTCATTCTGAAACTATAATTCATATAAATTGATGCAAGAAAATACAGATAATATCTCAGATGAATTTATAAGGGTGAAGCTCTTACTTAAATCAAATTACATTTCATGGAAAAAATATGCCATAGAAATTGATTCTCTATAATTCTGAAAGTGTAAGCAGATACGTTTCCTGTAAAAGAAAAATAATAGAGCGATATGGTATCAGAATCCGATTCCTGCAATTATCAATATAAGTAAATCCTCTTATATAATAGTGGTTTTATAACACTGTTGTCATGAAGTTGACATTATATTATGTATATTACCAAATGATATTATCAAGTTCTTATAAAGTCAAATATAATTTATTACCAAACATTGTTGTATCAGTTGTAATGTCTTAGAAAAAGATTGAAATTCCTGGCTGAATCATAATGGTGTCAAATCTGTGACTTGCCAAAGGAAATTGATACAAATGCTAGAATGAGTAAAAAGTGGAAGTGGGAGTCTTAAATCCAAAGACCAGAAGTATTTTATATTGTCAAAAATTTTGTCAATTTTTAAAAGAATTGATCTTGAATTGAAACAGGTAAATTTGTCATGTTGTTGAGCGATGCATGTTAAATATCCCCAGACAGTTGCAAACTAAAAAATAATTTACTTCTACTTTTTTTTTTAATCTTCATTATTTTGCTACAGATTTTTGAATGATGTCATATGAACTTTTTTTTAATTATGGAGCATTTCTATGAATTTCATTATGTTTGCGCGAATACAATTGACTTCTGCCCAGTACCAAATGAACTCCAGGTCCTATTATTATAATGATTATTGTGCAAGACATTTAAAATCATTGGTTAATTGCACGTTAAAAGCATGTTGACTACAAAAAATAAATACGTGCATGAAGCAATTTCCGAGTTGTGATGGGTTGGACAAATTTCATTTAAGAATGAAAGGTATCAGTGCCATTAAAATTGTTATCAGTGAGACACTAATGATTTCTGACATGTCATGGCATAGAAAATAACCACCAATTATTGATGTCAATTCTTTTATTCAAAACAATAAAACACCAGAACAAAAAATTTCAGAGATTTATTCTTGAACAAAAACTTGTCTA